CACCACACTCACAATGTTTCACCTGATCATCGTTAACCCTGTTCTTGCCCATATCTTGATTGACACATACCTTTATGTGTCAATACTCCACAATATGGGGGCGGTGAATGACAGACACACAAACACAGTTTTTAGTTTTTTTTACTTTGCAAATATTTAAATACCTATAAATATAAATTGTATTTGGATGTTTTAGCAACAATGTTCAAACTTTCATGGCAACTAAATTATTGAATTAAAACATTAAATTAAAGTTTATTGTGTCACTGAAATGATCATCACGGGGGCGACTGTGGTGCGGTGGGTAGAGCAGTGGTTGGAATTGTTTAAATGAACTTTAACAACAGTCCAATGTGCGACAACTCTGGAAACAGGTTCATCGTTGTAGAAATCACTGAGCTGCTCTTCAAATAGCAACAATACATATACATCCACAACTAAACTGAAATAATGCAAATAACATCAAATAAATAAAAAAATAGGAAAAACAACATAATTGGTCAATTTATATTACTGTTTTGTAATTAATACATCTTCATGGGCGCTACTTATGTAAGAAAAATAAAGCTATAACATCTCCAGCTACAATATTTTATCCTTTATGACCCTGCTCTGTGTTTCAATCAATGTATTTTAAGATATTTCTGGTTTTGTACCTTTTTCTTGGAACAAACCTTTGGTGGATAATGGATGTGCATCATGTTCTGTAGCCTACAGTGCAACACTAATTCCAATGGGAATAAACCTTAAACTTCTTAAGCTTTAAAAAAACAACTTCATCAGCAGCAGCCACACAAACAGGACTGAAAACAGTTTATTAGAAAGTCACCAATACGCCATAGAGATGCAAGTAAGAGGTTTATTCCCTTTCATTTCTGACAGAGGGAATGAAAAGCAGTTTTATTAAACCAATGAATCTCATCCATTACGCCTCAGTTAGCAGGAGAGGGGATGTCGCAGACTCAAAGCTCCTGTGGTTACAGACCTTTCTTCGATAGCTACGCCCTTGACTCTGCACTTCAGGATGTCTCGAATGATTAAAGGTGATTTTACTACATGTCTGCTGGTTGTGTAACCATTCCCTGTGACGGTGAGACAATGAACAGCTGTCTCACTACAGGCATCGGCTGTATCACATCTAAACTCCCCATAAAGCTTTAGGTCAAGCTCCAGTTACATGCAGTCAGAGTTGTCCCATAAAATTCAAGTTAAAAACAAGGCTCATGTTAACATTATAAACACTTAGTCACCATTAACTAAGACTTCCTTAAAACCACACTGTCTGTGGAGATTCTCAGTCATCCAGGTCAAAGCCTCAGCGCTTTGGATAACCACACTAGGAACTACGTTCCAACCAGTCAGGAGATAACGGAAAACCAGTTGCCACACTGGGACTCATGCAGGAATTCTTGCCCTAAATGTCACCTGGCAGCCTGACGGTGATGAGATGCATTATTAGTTATATTCCATACATCTATATTTTAGTGTCAGCTTCAAATTGAATCCCCAGGATCTTTCAGATGAAGTGAAACTAGTGTCGCCCCCATGAAGGGAGAACACGCCCACCCAGTCCTCAGCTGGCACAACACCCAGTCGTGTTGGGAAATGCTCGGTCATTCCTCAGTGTTCGAGGATGGACAGGTCATGTGTGGCTGGAGCAGTGTGTTTCTGGGTCTTCGGGTCCACATAGTTACTGGATCCATCAACGTTTGCACATCGTGAGAAAACTGCCCACACAGCCCCAAGAGAAAGGAGCGGCTTTATTTTTCAGTTTAATACCCAGGTAACCGCAACAGTCTGAACTAGGTGCTTTTCAAGCTCCATCAGTTTCTTCCAGGATCTTTCAGATGAAGTGAAACTAGTGTCGCCTCCATGAAGGGAGAACACGCCCACCCAGTCCTCAGCTGGCACAACACCCAGTCGTGTTGGGAAATGCTCGGTCATTCCTCAGTGTTCGAGGATGGACAGGTCATGTGTGGCTGGAGCAGTGTGTTTCTGGGTCTTCGGGTCCACATAGTTACTGGATCCATCAACGTTTGCACATCGTGAGAAAACTGCCCACACAGCCCCAAGAGAAAGGAGCGGCTTTATTTTTCAGTTTAATACCCAGGTAACCGCAACAGTCTGAACTAGGTGCTTTTCAAGCTCCATCAGTTTCTTCTCCATAAAGTGCTTTTGCATCACCCCGCCCCCTGCCATAAAAACATTTACTTCACCAGTCTCCAACTGAGGGACGGACCATGTCAGAGAAAGCTTTTGTAAATAAAAACTATTAAAAATAAAAACCATTTCCAGGAGCATCTTAGGAGGCGGCTCATCTTCCAGGTGCAGAGTGTGTGGACTACTTTGTGTATCGTCCGAGGCTGGAAGTGGCCCTCAGCGGTTTCTTCTGGCCTTTGGGGAACTGGCGAAGAACAAAGTCAAAGTTGGCTGTCGTGGACATGGCGTAGAAGACGTTTGCTTTTTCTGGTATGAGCAGCTCTGAAAACAAAACCAGATACATGTTGTAGAAGGTGTGTGTGTGTGTGTGTGTGTGTGTTTCAGCACTATTTTCAGGAGGTATTTTTCAAGTTCTTCTGTTCAGACCTCGTCCCTGGGAGATGACCTGTGTCAGGGTGAACTCCTGCCAGTCCATGCCCTCCAGGTGATGCTTCTCCAGCGCCCTCTGAATCACCTGAGCAGTTTTGTCCTGGCTGGTCAGCTACAGAAGAGTATAAGTGCCATTAAAGGCTGTTTAATGAAGGAAGCTTTTGCTTGAAGAGTCAATAACAACATCATGTTTAATTAAGGGGCACTGTTCAAGTGTAGTAGTGGAAGAACCCTTTCACCGATAGATCCAATACAATATGCTCATCATACGTATACACACTGATAGTTGTCAGATAGTAGTAGGAGTAAAAAGGACAGTGCTTCCTATTATACCAGTATTAAGAAGCATGAGCTGAGTAAAGTAGCTGGAAGGCGTACAGCACTGTAGCAGGGTATATTTGGTAGCAACTCACCAGGATGCTTTTGTACATGTTGCCGTTGTTGTGGCCCAGGTCCACGCTCACCCTGATGATGCAGGAGTCGGCCACCTGACGGTTGTACAGGGGCAGGCAGGTCATGGACACGGAACGTTTGTGGTGGGAGGAGGGAGCGGGCTTCGGCCGAGCTCCGCCGCAGAACATGGCAGGAGAGGAGACATCCGCCGGGCAGTCGGAGGAGGAGCAGGGGGGAGTGGGGGAGTGTGGGGAAGAAGCCGAGGAGGAGCAGGAGGAGGATGAGAAGACAGAGACGGTCTCAGACATGTTGTTGGAAGAGCTGTGGAAGGACTGCAGAGAGGACGAAACAAGAGATGAGCATTCATGGCATCTGTAGTTTTAGGCTGTGTCCACATCTCAGGCCTTTACTCTCAGCTCTGATTTGGTTTGTTCACACCTCTGTGGAAACATCAGGTCTGAGTTGTTACAATGTGGACGCAGCCTCACACTGTGCTGTGCAGGGAGCAGATCATCATCATCATCATCGTCCTTTATTCATTCAGGGGAAAGAACCAGGTGAGAGGAAGCTCTCCTTTCCAACAGTGTGCCGACAGTTTCAGGATCCAATGGAGTCATGAGATGTAGTCACAAGCCCTTCTTATGCTTCTTCTGCTTTTTATTGGTTAAATGTTTGTAAACCCCACAGACAGATGTAAAGGCTGATCAATAGCACTGGTTTATGAAAAGATATTTCAAAATGACAGACAGGCAGTCTTCCACAGAGCAGGATTAATTAGAAATGGTGGTAACACATCCCATGAGAGGAAATGATGCATGTTTCCCAGTTCTTAAAGCTGTTCAGTGTATTTGACTTCTCATCAGAGATGCCCCTGGTTTGTTTGCCTACTTAACATGGGACAGTTGTTTGTGAAGTGTAAACAGTGGACGTTGTTCTGCGCCCATCTGATGCAGACACACTGTCACAAAACCTCCAACGACACCACCGTCAGTACAACTGAGGATAGTTTAACTGAATTCTGACAACGTCTGCAAAAGAAAATGCAAATGAATGCACATTTCTATCCATTTAAATTATGTGAATACTGACAAACAGCTGGGGGCTAATTTCCCAGTCACCGCAGAGAAGTGACACAACATGACGTCATTAAAAAGAGCTCCGAGACAGAGAAAACAAAAAGCACAAGGTTATGTCCCACTGTCCTTCTGTTCATACACCAACCTTTCCACCTCAGCCAGGTGGGAAAGCTTCTTTTGTGATATTTTAAGATTTAATTCAAATTTCTGTTGTTTCAACCTACTTTTTTAAGCACAAATTGAAAATGTAAATAAAGACTGGAGGCTGCAAACCACCTGACCAGGCCTGAACAGCTGTTTACCTGCAGCGTGATGGAACAGGCCAAGTTGGAGGAGGACAGGTCCTCCATCTCCGACCCACTGGACCCAGAAGAGGAAACGCTGACCTGGTCAGCAGGGACTTTCTTAGACCCATCGCTCACTGTCAGGAGACTGGGGACAAAGACTTCATTTGTGTCCAAAAAGCCAGACAAAGCTCATGTTTTACAGACTCAACTTGTACAGTGTCATAGAATCTATTTTAATGATTCCTTTCAAGGAGAGTGGGTCAACAAACACTGTACCACTTGTGACGTCAGCGTTTAAGTGTTGTTTGCATAGTAAAATGTGCATGTATCATGTGTGCTTGAAATTCAAATGAGAGCAGAGCAGGACACTCACCTGGACAGCTTCTGTGTCAGGGTGCGGTGGCTCCACAAGGTCGGTGAGCACGAGTCCACCGGAGGCTCCAGCTGTTTGGACAGCTCGTAGCTGCAACGTAACAAACTACATGAAGCCTGAGAACCCTCTACCACAGGTTCATGCCACTGAACATCTGTCAGTAACACAGAAATACAGCAAACAGTAAAGAAGCTATGAACTGTGCACACTGTCTGCCACTCCCAGAGGGAGCCCACGATGAGACGCCACAAATTATTGCACTAGCAATGAGATATGTGTGATTCTTGCTGACAAGGCTCCGACGCTGGCGCCATAGATCAATGGGCTCTGACAGATTCTCAGACTCCTCAGTGACAGCAGTGCTTCTGCAGCTCAAAATGCTGGTTACACAAATGTATAGTGGCTGTTTCCAGGAAATGTCCCGTCCCACCTCTCCTGGTCAGTGAGCATCTTGTGTCCCTGCAGCCAGGCAGCAATTCTGGGATGATGGGGAAGGTTGTACTGGGAGCAGGACACCTGCAGGATCCGGATCTGTGACAGAACCTCAAACTCCTGCAGGGAGAGAGCAATGGCAGTGGATAAGGTCAACCAAAGCATCACACACTGCAGCAAAGTCACAACACAGTGGCTTATCCACATCCCGGTGAGTAACAGATGAAGCCTGGGATGTGGATGAAGTCAAAGATAATGTAACTGTTCCAAAGCTGAACGTAAATGTCTAAAAAGCATAACAACAGATCTCAGTCTGTCAGCGTTTTAGAAAACGCCCTCCCCTGTTTACTGTGACAGTGCAAATACAGACTACAGCACTG